TCCCTCTGTAGGGCCTTCCTACCCTCCAGCAGATTGACGCTTCCACCCAACTCGGTGTCATCTGCAGACTTACTGAGGGTGCACTCAATCCCCTCATCCAGATCATCAATGAAGAGGTGGAACAGGACCAGCCCCAACACTGAGCCCTGGGGAACGCCACTTGTGACCAGCCGCCAACTGGATTTAAACTCCATTCACCACCACTCTCTGGGCTCGGCCGTCCAGCCAGTTTTTAACCCAGAGCAGAGTGCGCTTATCCAAGCCGTGAGCAGCCAGTTTCTCCAGGAGAATGCTGTGGGAGACTGTGTCAAAGGCCTTACTAAAGTCCAAGTAGACAACATCCACAGCCTTCCCCTCATCCACTAAGTGGGTCACCTTGTCATAGAAGGAGACCAGGTTAGTGAAACAGGATCTCCCTTTCATAAACCCATGCTGGCTGAGCCTGATCCCCCAGTTGTCCCACACGTGCCATGAAATGGCACTCAAGATGATCTGCTCCATGACCTTTCCCGGCACCAAAGTCAGGCTGACAGGCCTGTAGTTTCCCGGATCTACACATGGGGACTGTGCTCTCTTTTGGGAAGAAATATAGATAATAAAAGGGGAAAAAACAGAATGGAGCTTCTCCTGCAGTCAGGACAGTCAAAAAATATCTGTCATGTGGATTCTTACACATCTAATGAAGAAATAAGCTAATGTGAGAGCACTCCTTCACCAGAATTGTTATTAGGATCACTCACCTGTAGTTAGTGACCTGTAAAACTTCCAGAAATTTATCATTTGAGACTTATCTGTGTAGCTTGGATAACATAATCGAAAATGCCAGAAAAGGACAAAACACACACAAACTTTCAAAGGGAAACTGTCAAAGTCTGTTTAGAAAAAAAACAGACTAGAAAGTATAGCCTGCAAAGCAATTTCTCATGCTGTGCATTTTTGCCGTAACAGCCTTATACTTGATAGTGTATAATCCTTCACCCAAAAGGGCAGATATGAAATCAAGTCCTTGACACACGGATTACTTCTGATTCCTTGTTTAACAATTATCAAATACAAAGGTCAAATAATTCTGAGGGTAAGAAGTAGAAACCTGTGAACAGAGTAGCCTAATCTGCAGATAAGAGTCATGGTCCTTTGTCTTGTTCTTCCCACTGGTGAGCCTTGCATTTGGCGATGTGATGGTCTAGCACTGACAGAAGGAGAAAGCAATAACTACACATTAAATAAACTCATGGATCCCTCACTACATGAGGGCATCCCGCTAGGATACGGATCTGGCTAAGAGACCCGAATGCAAGCCTCCCTCTTCCTGAGGGAATGCTCGCACCACCAGGCCCTCCCTTTGTGGATATATTTTAAGGAGAGCAAAGGTGTAGTTTGCTCTGGCCAGCAAAGCCAGTTTAAGAGGTTCCAGCCCCAGCATCTTCCTGCCTCTCCCTCCCCCTTTGCCCAAGGATTACAGCACTCTCAGCTGTATGGATTCAGCTGTTTGCGTGGGCACACTTCAAACTCTTTCAGTGAAATAGCCTACTGTAAATGCAAAAACACCCTCTGTTGGGGTTTCTTTTTTTTAAGGGAGGCTGAGGGAAAGGCTGGAAGGGAAGAGTGGCAGCCTGACTTTTTCCACCAGACTATTCCACAAAGCTATTTGTACAGCCATATTCTGAAACAGATGATGGAATAAAAATCTTTGAGGGTGGGAAGGGTGCAGAGATGAAATGGGGGTAGTGGGGAGGAATGATGCAAGCAGCTGGGGCTGGAACCTCAAACTGGCTCTGCTTCTGTAAGATTCATAATGGGGAACTACACATGAAGCCCACATTTACTTCAGCATCTTTAATCAGGACAGGACTCCAGACACACACTCGCTAAAGGTCTCAAACACCCAAAATGGAGCATCGAGTCAGACACCAAAGCTCCAAAGAGAGGCAGCAATTCGCATCATTCTCAGCTCATGTCCTGCTCATTAGTTTTAACTGTCTCTACACACAGCTCGTGGGCCTCTGCTTGCACTTTTGGAGAAGCCCATCTGCCTGCGCTGCCCCAGGAGGGAGCAGAGGCACCCAGCCTCCAAGATCTGAATCACTGTGCTGTACCCAGCCACCTCATTTTTGTGTATAACAATTCTGAAGCTGGAGGTGTCCAAAAAAGACAGCCCCCTAAAGTTGCCTACCATCACTATAAATGGATCCCCTCACTTACTTCATTTCATTTTGCTTGCAGCCTGGCTAAGGAAGACGAGAAAAGGAAGCAGCAAAAGCAAGCGTAAGAAAATGCTCTATCTGCTGCCCTGTTTCTCCACTTTCCATCAGCTCTGCTGAGGTCCCTCTCTCAGAGTCACTGGTTTTTGGGAAAGGTGCCACCCTGCGCAGCGTTCCTCCTCCTGGTGGGAACAGCTTTGGGTGGATTAGAGAGGCACTGCTGGGCAAAGCACATCTTTTTGATTAAATATCTCTAAGGAACGTTCCCACTGCTTAGCAGAACTTGTTTACATCTCAGCATTTCAGCCCGAGTTCAACCTGTGCTCTTTTTAAGAGGATTTTGTTTGAATGAGATATGTAAGTCAGGAGTCTTGAGCTCCATTCCCTTTTCTACTCTGACTTTGATGTGTGCCTTTGGGCAACACATTTACCCTCTCTGTGTCAGCTTCCCCCATCTGCAAATTAGAGATTTTCATAATTATCTTAATAATCCATTGAGCACACTGAGATTTCTGAATAAGCAGTACAATGTATAAAGGTTAATATTGTTTTCAAGAGCCAGAGTAACCCTCCTTATGTCACTTTTGCAAAAATACTGCATCTGATGTTTGAAAAATATATCTGCCAAGTAGATGTTACTGCAGTAAATGTTCAGCACATGTTTGCTTCTACTGACGCACACTATTAGAAAAATTGCTTGAGACAAATTGAGATATTATAGAACAACCCTATTATGAAGCTAAACCACAAAAAAGCTTTTTTTAATTTAAACTAGATCATCAATAGAATAGGGAAGAGATGGATGAGAATGGGAAAGTTGGTTGTAATTATTTCTCTGAAGATCTGGAACATTATCTGACAGGATTTTAATTCTTGAGTCTCTATCAAAAGACTGGCAGTACTCCAAGGTCTTCAAGACATTTTGGTCCTTAAGGGTAGCAGGAGGATAACAGTTTGAGCAAAAGGCCTTTACTTGCTATTACTTGCTAGCCTTGTGCTATTCTGCTTCCCTAGAATATTCCAGTCAATTCAGATTTCACAAGAGAAATACAAATTTATGCCCAAAAAAGTAAACTACTCTATACAATCATCACAAATGTACTTCAAAAGGAGAAAGGTATTAAGGTGCAAAGTACCTCAAGTAGGTACAGCTTCAAACTCAGACAAGGTGGGTGGCTGAACATGTGAGAATCTTGATGAAACAAACTCTCCAGAGGAGAGCTACTATGGGTAAATAATTTCATTGCCAAAACCATTGCTTCAGAAGATTAAAAAAGGTTCAGGGATGCTCCCAAAGGACCAAAAAAACCCACCCAAAACACTCCCCACCCCCCAAAAAAGTAGACTTAAAGTTACTGCCAACTAATTCTACAATAGTAAAGTTAAGTGAGGAGGATATGCACCAAAATTAGAAGTTGATACTTGAGATGTTTTAGCCACAACTATTCAAAGACAAAAATAAGGAAATGCAAAACGAAAGTAAAACTCCAGAATAGTGTGGGTTTGAACTCCCCTACTTCAGGCAATATATTCTTTGACAGAGTAATCTTAGTTGTTGAGTTCAAGTAAAAACTAGTTAAATACTTCAGCAGGCAGTATAAGTCACCCTACCTTGAATAAATGAGCATCAAAATGTTTTAATTTGCCAGCTGAGTTATACCAATGTAAGATATCACTGAATGACCTGCCTCGTAGCTAAAAACGGCTATCAAATATTTAAAAAAAAAAAAAAAGAAGACATAAAAAGCCCTGCAAATAAACCCATTGGGGTAATTTCCAACACTTTACTCTGCTTCAAACAAAACTAAGCACCTTAAGTTCCTCAAATAGACCAGGTGAGCCAGAAGAATGCTGCCAGGAAAGTCAGTTCAGGAGACACTAACTCAGAAATACCTCTGAAAACTGTTGAATCTGTTGAATTAATTCCCCATTAGTGGGAAATTCTAGACTTCAGTAAGCTCAAGAAATTACTGCCAGTATATAGGATAGTAACTGTGTAAGTTCAAAGAAACACACTTAATTGAAAAGGCACTTTTAACCAGGTTTAGCAAGAATCCAGTTCCACCTGTGTCACTATCAAGAACAGCACTGCACTGCTCCAAGAAAACACCCACTGAAAAGGAACTTAGTGAATCAAAGACAAAAGTTCTCCTTTTTTCCTGTTGTGAAGGATTCCTAAACACAAACGATGGCGTTTCCTTTTTCTTTTGGGCTCACGTTTTTCTTGTTCTCTTCTCATCTCATTTACTGATGTGAGGACAAACACAAACGCCTGTCTTGCACCAGACTATTAACACCATCATTCCAGAAAGGAAATTAATTTGTACAGTTCTTATCTTTTATCTTGAGTCAGGGCAATGGTATGGAACAGTTACTACGTAAGATGTAAAGCTGATGAAAAACTTCAACTGTGATTTGTGATCTGTTCAAATTAATTTCCATTTCCAGAATTGTATCGCATGACTGGCAGCAACCTGCGCTAGGATCCAGAGTGCTGGGTAATCCCAACCCTTTTTATAGGAGCAAACCCACAGAAACAATCAAGGACAATGCTGTTAGGTCACCTGGAAACTTGCTGTATCCTCAGCACGGTCCTCCTTTTCACAGTAAAGTGGCAGAACTCATGAGGAATCACTGTCATCTCCTACATCCAGTGCCCACCCTTGCCTCAGATGGTAAAAGCTTTGACCAAGGAAAGAGCCTAACAGAAAGCCTGCAAAGTCAAGCAGACTGAACATCTCGGCAAAAATTCTTCACTTTGTTAATTCCAAGGTGCAAACTCGTAACTTTACTGGACAAAATTATTGACTAAGTATCTCTTGTGACATTTGTAAATTCCCTGGCAGAGTTCAACCCTATACCTGTTCTCTCTTGACCAATTTCTCTAAAAGCTATCAGATCCCTCAATACATCCACATAAGCTCAAGTAAAGAAAACAGTGGAAAATTTCTGCTAACTCAAGCAACATATGGACCACTAGCAATAGGGATCCATTAACGACAGCCTTACATGATGGGGGGGAGAGAGGAAAAAAGGAAAAAGAAAAGAGGCCACTAGTATTCAGCTAACTTGGTTGTCAGAGGGGATCAGAATCTTGGCGGACAGTATCTTGACGTAAAAAGAAAGTGTTACGCCCCAAAAACCTATTAGTGAATACATCCCAGTTTCTACGTGCAACAAGATACTGCATCATTTTGTGTATCTCGTTATTTTGGTCAGCCCAATAATAATCCAATTAACTGTACTGTCTTGCATAAGATTTAAGCACCACCAAATTTCTGATCATACTGCTAGAGGTCATGCCCACTTTGTTATCATAAATGTATTTTCAAGGCAGAGTGCTACAAGAACAAAAAGTTATTCTTAGATGAAGTTCTAAGAAGATCATTCTAGAAACTCTTCAACAATTTCTGACATCATGAATGCTGGCTGTCCTGACAATCAGTCTGAGCATTTTTGCCAGTTTCTCAGATACAGGCTTTATAATTTTATTTCATTTTCAAATGTATCCTGCTACCAAAGTAGAACAAATGTGATTTATTTTTTATTAAAATAATTTATAGAATTACTTAAGGAATATTTAACAAAACAAATTGTTGGTTTTGGATCTATTTGTCTGAATGCCAGTATTTTCTTGAAGAAACACACACTACTGAAAAGATTTTATGCTTCAAGCAGTACAGATATACGCATATTACAGATTGAATTTAGTCCTTGAATCTAATGCTATAGTTTTACCATGCAGTTTTTCCTTTAGCAAAAGAACATGAAGGGTAAAGTCTTAACCCCATTAAAAGTCAAGGCAAAGCTTCCATGGACTGTAATGAGACTGGGATTTCACCCAAGGTGTTAAACTGTGGTTTGGGAAAGCGAATAAAAATACATCCATTATTGTAACAAGTACTTACCTGCTAGCCAGACTGAGCAATTCATGTCTATCGGCTACTGCGGATTTCTTTTCCAGTTCCCACAACATCACATTGATCAGGTATGAATTCTTAATTACAATGGGCACTTCTTCAAACATGTTTTCATAAGCAATATTTGCTTTTTTCAAGCTGTGAAAAAAGTTTAAAAAATATTAATATAATCAGTAACTCTCTTATTCTTTTTGTTGAATTGTTGCTCCAACAACAATTGGCAATTTTGTAAAAACTCTTGATTTTCATAGTTCCACAATCAAACAAGAGTCAAGTTTTGGTAAGAGAGCATTTGCATGGCAAAACCTCACGTTTACAAAGACTAGGAAAAGCTGCTCTAGGAAAAACTCTCAGAAGTCAAGCAGCCGCTTTGCTTGCTAATACATTAGCCTCCAGCAAAAGACTGTACTGACAGGATTAACTCTGCCCCTTCCAAGTAATTTTACTGTTTTCCCTGCCATCGGGGTTTCTTAAATAGAACTGAACGGTTAGTTACCACATGACACTGAAATACCTTTAAAATCATAACTACTACAATGAAAAACAATTTCCCCAATAGCTGAACAATTAGAATTTTTACTGGCCAAAAATTAGATTGACAAAATAGTGTGTGTGTTGGAATAACTAAATTCCATGGTGGATATTAAAATATAAATTTCAAGTGTATGTTTTTGTTTTACAATATAAACACTATTGTTATTGCTTTGTAATAAAGTAGACAGTAATACCTTTCATAAAACCTGGAAATAAAGGCATGATTTTAAGTTTCTGTGGAAACATATCTTTAACTTCTTTGTATGCATATTGGATTTTGGAATAAAAACACTTGCTTTTTGCCTGCCCCCCCCCCCCCCCCCCCCCCTTTTTTTTTTGGTCTAAGCACAGATTTGTTTGTTCATCATGGAAATGTTACGTTTAGACACCAAGCAATGAAATTATTCCATTTTTCCTCAGCGAAGAAAATTTAACAAGTGCTTGTGCTTTTGCCCTTGAACACCAAGCTGTTTGAGGAAAAAGATGACAGCTAAGGCCTACATCTATTGCAAGCGGCTAATCTTTTGAAACAGAGTAATTATCCTACTTTACTCCAGAAGATTGTGTCCGCACAGGGGAGTTAATTTGGAATAAATACAGAAGAACAGCTATTCCAGAATACCTGTTCAATTTTCCTTCTGGAAAAAAGAAGCTTAAAGACAGACCAGCTATTTCCCATTCTCCATTTTTTTTTTTTTTTTATATTTTTGACTCTGTTCCCAGATACAGCTATCTTCACCATGGTCCTTGCAGCCAGCCTGTTGCCCGTCTCCAAAATCAGTTCAGGTTCCCCCACTTCAGCCCTTATTTAGGTGCCCAAAGACAGACTTTCATGCCTTCTCAGCCCACTGTATCTGTGCACGTCTATCACTACTCATATATAACCAGTTTCCCCAGCACACACTATTACATGAGATTTTAAAGTACAGTATTTCATCATCCCATGTACCCTTCTGCCTCCCAAAGAATCCGGCAAAACCTATGAGAAAACATTCTTTTAAGTTACTTACGCTTCTGGAGAGAAGTCTTTTTCTTTGCAAACTTCCATCAGTTTGGGAGTCAGCCTATATGCCTTTAGTGACAGAGACCCTTGGGCAGTCTTAATGGGATCTATAATTAAAAATGGAGAAAGTGTATTATTACTAACCCCAGATTGCCTTTTTTTTTTTTTAATATCTGAATGACAAACAGGAGGAAAATAACTAAGTAGTCATATTAAAAAAAATTAAGACAACCAACACAGAGAAGACACTTTATGGAAGTAAACCTATTGTACTGAAATGTAAAATACATCCAACTATACACAGTGAAGCAAATTAATAAACTTAACTTGGAGAACATGGGGGGATCTAGACCCATTCTACTCACAACATTATTTCTCCATTAAAGGTTTAATTCACATTTTCTTTTCTTTTGTATGAACTATCCACAGAACTTATGTAAGAGCTACCTCATTTAAATAAAGATTTTTCCCTCCAGTCATTATGCAGTAAATTAAAATATTCCTTAAACTACATTTTACACAAAGAAATTGTAGTTTTAGAGTAGCAATAAGCTAATTCAGATCAAGTTGCCCTGCTGCTTTGTGCATAATAATGTAACTGGTATATAAAAACATTAGTTTTGCCTTGACATACTCTACTGAATTTAGGGGGAAATTTTCTAAACACACTGTTACATTCCTAGGACAAAGAAGCTTAACACTTGCAGCATGATAACGGCTGAAGCATGCCAACATGAGAATAAAAGCTGTGTTAACATTCATGTTGTCTGAAACTTAACACAGTAAAACTTTTACCAATCGGTGATAAAATGAAAACCAAAATAGACTGAAACAAGTGGAAAATTCATCAAGGTCTGATGATGCAATGTTTCCAGCCAATATAAGTATACTTTAACAACTTGTTCTTTACTGTAATCCAATTGTTAACATACTGAAACAATTTTGGGGCAGCTCATAAGATTGATCGTATTCATTAGTATTTTTTCTGACAGATACTCAGGACGTTACATTTACTTCTCAGCTGGAAACTATATGCAAGTCTGCCAGATATGGCAAACTGTGAGTGTTTGGGGAGGGGGAGGCTATAAAGCTGTTAAATTGCCTACGGTTCTGATACAGCACAGAACATCTGGTCTGGAGAGCTTGAGGAAACACCATTAAATAGGCAGAAAAGAAAAAAATCTTTGTGCTAAGAAACAGTCCAGGTTTTGTATGCTTCTGTCAGAGGTATAAAAAAAACTTGGCAATTCGTGCGATGATTGGTCAGTCACGTACAGAGCCAGACACGCTAGCAAGCGGGGTTTGTTAGACATCTGGTCGGGTTCCACCAGCCCCTTCGACGAGGGAGGGGAGATGAAGGAATAAAAATGAAGCAGCTACTCCAGCATTCCAAAACGTACACATCAGGGCTCTGATAGCAAGAAAAATAAACAGAAAGAAGGAAACCCTGTCTAGACTTAGCTGCTGCTGAGGCTGCCGTAGACACAGGGTTGGTATTTACTCGAAAAGGCCTGCCAGGCTACTCTTACAGGCAAAAGACAGAATACAAAAATAGTAGTAATAATATTAAGAGGGGAAAAGAATAATAAAGGAAACCTCATACTAACCGTAAATGAGAACTACAGACTCCTCAATTGCGTGCTGGTAACTGAACTGGGAGTCCAGGAGGGCACGAGTGACAAAAGAGCCATAGTATGTGGACTGGTACCAGCCAACATGAAGATGATCAATGTTTACGTGGCGAAGGCTTCGCATCATTTCCATCTGGTATTGAACTAGATTAAATAAAAAGTATGGTTAAAAAGTAACCTTACACAATCTGCACTATTTAGAGAGAGAGCTTGATATTAAATGAGTAACTTTTATTTTATTTTATTTTCATTTTTGCAACTGTGTAGAAGTTTGTTTATTCACTGCTGGACTTTCTTCATTAAAATCCAGAGCTTCCTCAGAGAATGAGAGTAAGGCTAGCCTAAGTAAGCAGACTTTTTGCAGCTGCAGTTAATTGCTAAAGTGATCAACAAACTGTTACACGTCATTTACAGTGCGTATTACCTTGCTCATTCATAAAAAAAATTTCTGATACTGGGTTTCATTAAGCAGTAACATTTTACCATCTAGTAACAAAGAAATATTGTGATTTAAGTTGTAATACTGTCCGGAATTTGGAATCAAAAGGAGAATTATTTAATGAGTATATGAAATAGAAGACAAACTATTTATGTCTTTGTCACAACATAAAACTGTATTTTCAGTATTAGAGTGTGGGGGACCAGCCATAGCTGTCAGATTTGATTGTCACTCTTTCTTCTTTTTGGATGTATATAAATGCATAAGTATGCATGTATGGATATATTATACATAATATACACACGTATTTATATACAGTAAGTTACCTTAGACAGTAGAGAACATTTTTTGTCAGGCTTTTTACAACAACAGCTGTAATATTTCATTGTACCAACGCATAAATTCTGTTTCTACTAAATGCTTCATTCAAACAGATTGCCTTGATGGAACAGAATTCTGTTCAGGAATGTTTAACATAATCCCATCGAGCAGATCAACACACCTTATCACTTATCAGACCTTTTAAACAGACAGACACCGTGCCTGCTGGTTAAATTTAAGGAAACAGATTTCAGTGTAATTATCAGATGAACCAACACTCACAGCCCACTGATAGGAGAACAAATGCAACAATGCTACACAATTCTTAAGTTTTGTCTGCAGCTGCAAAATTTACAAAGATAAAAACCAACCCCCTCCTATGCATTCATTTTTGTTAATTTTTTTTCAAGGCTTCTACTTGCACAGATGAAAATATGATATTCATTATAAAAGAAAGCAACATAAATTAATTAGAGGACAGAATGTGCTATGTTTTCAGACCCCACTTCATATCCTTTCAAGAGAGAAAAAAAATCCAACCATATTCTTTAAAGATATGAGATGTTTTTCAAGATTGGACAAATATTTTTCCAACTTATCCACCCTTACAGCACAAACTACATTCTGCAGTCTGCTGGCCCTTTCCATTGAATTGCCATCTTACTGATTGTATTTTGAAAGTAATCTACGTACACTTATATAAACCCTTGCAGACTTCTTCCATCAGCATATGTTGGCGCTTGCATTCTATTTCATAATATCTTAATAGAAATGACTCGCAATTTGTGTTTCATCCAGGACACCATGATAATACAGTACCCCAAAACTAACAGAGCAAAACCATCCAGGCTACAGTCTGAAATCTCATAATACACTGTAAGAAAAGAAAAGGCCTGCACCATTGGGCTGTCTCTAAGCCAAGGCAAATCTAAAGATGCCACTACACTCTCCAGGACAGACAGCCAGTAGAAATGATCAAGCAGCTACTTTAAAGTCCGTATGAAAACCTTCCTCCTTGCCAGATCAAAAGAAATTTTAATCCTGCTTTCATTGCACAACCTCCAGAAATAGTGGCCAGTTTCAAGCATACTCCTTATACAGCAGCCCCGACGCTTTAGCAGGTAGCATCTCAACGTTTCTCACAAAAGCAAAGCTAAAATCTAGCTTGTCAAAGAAGCTCGGTCCTTAAACTTAAAAGGCTTTTTGGGGGAAGATGTTAAGTTTCTAAATTTTACATTGAAAACATAAAGAACATAGACCTCCCCCAGAACAAACTAAAAGACTCCTGCTGTGACCATGATTTTGAATTGAAAAAGTATATGATCCATTTATTAAATGTAGCTAGAATAAACTATTTTGGTTAAAAGAAGCTATTCAAAGATATATGTGTGTGGAAAGCAAGTAAGATTTGCTTTTGACATGATGTCCTACAACATGCTAAAACATGAAATTATGATTAGATCCTTTCTAGCCAAATGAAGTCATGAAAAGGAAAAACTAGAAAGGGATTTTCAAAAACAGCTGAAAGAGAGAAAACTTTTTTTGAGAATGAAATTAATGTGGATTTTTAGATAGCTGAGCTAAACTGCTCCTTGCAGTGGCAATTCTCTTGTAATTGAGAACATTGTCAAAGCAGAGGTGTCATGTAACGATGGGAAAAAGATACTTATATATAGATTCCTATGAAATCATGTGATTGACCCATTCAGAGAATTTCTCCCTTAAGAGGTGTAATGTTAAAGAGTGGGAATACCCTAAGAAAACATCCACATCTTTTACAAACTCGAATAAAGGTCTATCATGCTCTTAAAAGTGTTCATCCGAGAGGTAACAGGTAACCAAGTTCCAAGACAACTTATTTTCTTAAACATGGTATAACCAGCAATATGTAACTGAACTTAAGTGTAAACCATGTCGTCTAGAAGAAAAAGGACTCACTGAAAACCATCCAGATCTCAAGTCAGCAATTCCTCCTCTCATGACTGTTAGCAGTTAGATGATAATGAAGGCAATAGCGGAAAAATCTCAAAGAACCAATAAAGCATCAATAGCTAACATCTCTGCCTTGGGAAAACAACTGCAGAAATTAAAACATGATGCAGTCCCCACCAGGGAGAAATGGAAACTCTTTTAACCAAACATATATATTTTATAACATGTATTAGTAGCTAAATAGCTCCAACAAGCTGCCAACTTGCACAAATGGATAACAGCCCCCAAGTTGCTTTTGTTGATATCGTTACCACTGTTTCTTTACATCTTTTGCCCAGTTTACAGAACATCATCTTTTTACCTAGAAGTTTAGCAGAGACTAGGCAAGAGCTCTCTCCTTCTACCCAGTCCTCAATCTGCTAGGACTTGGGATGGTCATGCACTTCTAGTGATGTTTCAAGTCACAGTCCCTCCCAAGCCATGCTGCAAAGGTGCCACTAAAAAGTGCCACTAAGACCGAGAGTGCCCAGAACTCAGGTGAACAAGGAAAAGGGCAGGGGAGCAGCCAGACCAGGATGCTTCCCCCCTCTCCCCCCCATTTAAACAGTGTACCTATATTTTTAAGCAAATTATTTCTTCAGGAGTGTCCTTACGATGAGAAAAGCCAACCGTCATGCTTGCACTTCTCGGTGTGCTTCTCACATTGAGAACACACAGCCTGTGTCTCCTGAGCCATCGTGCACCTCCTGAGCACCTCTCTGGGGTAGATATTTTTTTTAGCAGAAGATTCTCTCTTTTGCTATTATTTTAAACCCCCTCCTTTCTCTAAAAGGACAATTTTTTTGTTAGTTTGCAAACAACTAGGGGGGGAGGGGGGAATTAGTGCAGCTAGAAAGTGTTACTATAATTTGTCTAAAGCAGAAAAAGTGCAAAACTATACAGTATAGGTGTTCTGCTTGAACGTGACTGACTTGTGTGAATTTGTACTAACAAAATCCCTTGACTGAAAACAGTAAACCCTATTACAGTAGTTTGGTGGGTGTTTTTTTACCCTGAATTCAACTACATTTTAACAAACTTGTTGTAAAAGATTAAAGAAAATAGTAAAATAAACACTTTTTGCTTTTCTAAAATGTACTGGCAACATTAGAAACTTTATCTGGGCTTTAACATATAGGAGGTATATACCCTACCTTATCAATAAAAAAAATAACATACGCTAAATTAAATAATAAATCAGAGACAAGGCCAAGAACTGAATACTAATGTGATGACCCTGGTCAACACTAGGACAACTCGGCCACGTTCTCTCAATACCTTAAAATATCCTTGGTCAATAACTTCACTATTTGAAAACCTAATTTAAGAATAGGTCAAATCAATGAAGGCACTGAAAAAAGGAAAAAAAAAAAAAAGGTCCATCTGATAATTTTAAAATGCAAACAAGTCTAAGACACCAGAGTTTACAAGTAACTGGCAAATTCACATCCTTCTTGAAATAACAGCTTATTTATAAAACGCTTCCAAAACAAGCGTTCTGGTAGCAAACTGATCCATGATGCGAGTTTATTTATCGCTAAAACTGTGTTCTTTTTATTTCTTTATAAACAATTCATTAAAATCCAGCTCTCAGGAGGTCACATATCAATGTACGTGTTGCCAAAATGTAGTCCCTAAATAGTTATCATTACCATCAGACGAGATGCATTTCAGCCTGGCCACATTCAGACTGCCGGTAAATATTATGACATGTGAAACTCTGATCAAAGATGGCCTGGAGGCAATACATTTGATGGCACCTCAGATGCTCAAGGCCTTAATTTCCAAAACATATTTCAAGTTGATACGCCTTTAGAAATCTGGTTTTAAGAGCAGCAACCAACACGTCTCCTAAAAAGCCAAGCCCCACCAAAGTGGAAGAATGTCGTACCCGGTATCACGTGCCGTAGACTGGACAAAGGCAGCAGGACCAAAGGGGGTAACAACCAACTCTATGTTACGAACCACTAACATCTGCATAGCCTTCAGTCTGGATTTCACAATTAAGTGTTTGCCTTGACTTGCGTTTCACACATTTGTCCTTAAACTATGAGCTCAAACAAGCAGAAGTTCCACATGTCTTCATGAGGACAGGTCACTGGTTCAAGAACAAGGCAGACCTTTACTGCTCCCGCACTCACAACAGCCTCCTCAAAAAGACTCTCTGGAGCATCTGAGGACAAAGACTGTTTCCTCGCAGAATCTTGGGCATCCAGAAGACAGATGAACTAGGTGTGTCACTAAAATTTAGTCAAGACTGGGCATACTTTCCAAGGGACACAAGGGTCCTTCAGAAGAAACAGCATCCAACCGCTGCGCTAACACTGCTCTGAATTTAACTGGCAACATGAACATGGCAAATTTTGGTTATTCTGGCCAAACTATATTGAAAAACAGCTAAAGTATTCCTTTT